GTCCAACCCATTTCTACATGCTCTTATAATAGTTTTTTGTCATTTACACCATATTACTATTATGTCCCAGGTGTTCTAAGTTCGGTTGTGCTGTCATATAAATGTCATACGTAACAGTTTTTCCGTTTTTCCCATGCTTATTATCTTATTACACTCATTTCTAAATATTAATATTGTCTGCAATGTTATTGTCGATTTTTACCCAATGTTCCTATTCTGTCCCATTATTAGTACTATGAATTAGTAGCACGATTTTACCCAGCGCAGCGGGGGGTCCATACCTATGTGTCCCGGTACCTATGTGTCCCGGTACCTATGTGTCCCCAGTACCCAGGTACCTATGTGTCCCAGTATCCAGGTATCTATGTGTCCCGGTACCTATGTTTCCCGGTACCTATGTGTCCCGGTACCTATGTGTCCCAGTACCCAGGTACCTATGTGTCCCAGTACCCAGGTACCTATGTGTCCCAGTACCCAGGTACCTATGTGTCCCGGTACCTATTAACTAAAAAAAAACTTTTTAATTTTTTGTTTGCTGACGTAACAGCCTAGGCCTAATCCTGAAATCCTTTGTTTCGTGTACTGGGAAACCTAGGTACCGGGACACATAGGTACCTTGGTATTGGGACGCATAGGTACCGGGACACATAGGTACGTACCTGGGTACTTGGACACATAGGTAGGTACCTGGGTACTGGGACACATAGGTACCTGGGTACTGGGACACATAGGTACCGGGACACATAGGTACCGGGACGCATAGGTACCGGGAAACATAGGTACCGGGACACATAGATACCTGCGTACTGGGACACATAGGTACCGAGACACATAGGTATGACGCCCGCAGCGGGTACCCGCAGCTAGTCTAATATATATTTGAGTTCGTATGTATGTATGTATGTATGTATGTATGTATGTATGTATGTATGTATGTATGTATGTATCTTCCCTATAGGCGGCCAAACCGCCCAAGCGATCTGGATGCAATTTTCACAGGGCCATCTCTTATACCCGGGGAGTGTTCCTAGATGAAAAAAACCTGTCAAACCGTCAAACTCACCGAAAAATCCATGAAAAACCCGTCAATTCGTGAATCTTCACACAATGTCAGCACTCACTGTACAGTGCTGTCACACACAGAAAAATCGATGACTATTTCATCAGCAACCGAAACCAATACTAAAACAGAGCACAGCCAGGACCAGAGGCGTGTTTAGAAGACCGAACGCTCGCGAGCGCTCGCCTTCTGAACGACACTGCGCGAGCGTTTGCGCGTAAATTCAAAACGCTGTTCGCTCAGCGCGGGTTGTTTACAAGATGGCGACGAAAAGTCTGGCGAATGCGAATCTAACATTTCTGACGTCAATTTGCAATCTATTTCAACTTTATTTCATTTTTCATTCATTCATTTACTTCTAAATTCAATTTGTATCAATTTCGTCTGCTAATTCGTTTAACAGTACTTGTTCGAAGACATTAAAATCTCGCGATTAAAATCTGCTGAGTAACCCTCCATGGGGGCCGCCATCTTTGATCAAGCGAGCGCACAGCGAGCGCACAGCGAGCCACAGTTACGTACGGCACGCAACAGCACGAATGGGTTGCACTTCTCATTTGAAAGCCTCTTGATAAACAATAAGTAACAATATATAACATAACCTCTGAACTGAGGCGTGGCCATACGTACATGCCGTACGTGGGCAGCTCAACAGTTCGAGACGCCAGGAATCTTTACATATTTCCACCAGAGAATAACACAAAAAACATTGTTTATCAAGAGGTTTCAAATGAAAACTGCAATCCATTCGTACATGCTGTTATAATAACTTTTTCTCATTTACACCATATTACTCTTATGTTCCAGGGGTTCTAAGTTGGGTTGTGCTGTCATATAAATGTCATACGTAACAGTTTTTTCCCCATGCTAAATTGTAAATATTGATATTCTGTGCAATGTTATTCTCCATTTTTACCCAATGTTCCTATTGTGTCCGATTATTAGTAGTATGAATTAGTAGGACGATTTTACCCAGCGCAGCGGGTACCCACAGCTAGTTATATATATAGCACTATCTTAATATAGAACAGGCCGGCATAATTAACGTACGATATCACCGCCGTTCAAACAGGTGAGTCTGACATTTACAAGACATTCTAAATTAAAGATAATGATAATGAATTTACAACTACTGGTAAGTGCTTGATAGCATATATGGCATTTCAAAATATCCCCCGGTTATAAGAGAAATTGTTTTGATGGACAATAACACGTATTAAAAAAATAAATGAATTACATATATATATATATTATTGCCTCTAGATTGAAAACGAAATGACGGTATATAAATTATAGGCCAACGGCGCCCGCGCCAAATTAGCAACGTGTACGGGCTGGTTTACGTGCGCAAATGGTGCGATGGCGCACGCCAAATTCGCACCGTGCGGTCGAGGCCTAGCGTGCGCCACGTATGCACACAACCCAAGCAATGCGCATGCGTGACCTAATTGTATTCAGCGCCGTTGGCCCGCGCCAAATTCGCACCGTATGCGGGGGCCTTTAGTTTCATAAAAAATACCCGAAAGAATACAACGAAAACAACAAGCACGAAGCACGCACGCACGCGCGCGCACACACGCACGCACGCACGCACGCACACACACAACTAGACAGAGGGCACTCACGGAGAGTGCATACCTCCGCGAGCATGTAACATGTATCATGTGCTCGCTGGTGGCGGCTGCTGACTGACTCGCCTGCTGCTGACTCGCCGCTCACTGGTGGCTGCTGCTGACTCGCCACTCGCTGACTCGACGCGCTATCGATCGCGCTGTGGCTACACACACACACGAGACCGATTACATGACCTCCGTTGCGCGGAGGTAAATATATATATCAAGAGTAGATAATAAGGTATTATTAGCTCTTGATAATATATATATATAGGCCTACTATAGAAATAGTACTGTAGAAATAGTACAATAAATACGATAAAGTCTAGAGAGATGCGTTTTACTTTCATGCAGCAGAAATGGATAAATTTCAGTTTACCTGTACCAGACTAAACGGTGAATCCGTCACAGGGCTGCAGATTTTAGAGCTCGAGTAGTAGTATAGTTCACATGGAGACACAAGAATAA